AATCTTTAATTCTACAGAGATTGCGCATATGATTTTTGTAATCCCGCGAAACAAAGTTACAAATTTAACGTTGCTGTAAAATAAATTTGCTTTAACACATCGGTTATACCGTGAAGGTCGAGAGACACAGATCCCCTCCCGGTGAACGGTGCAGCATAATTCCAACAGGAAACAAATTCCAATTCATTTCATACTGTGTATTGTGAGCTAATGCTTGATACTTATCGAGGTAAGAAAGTAATGAAGTTTAACGGGAACCGTCGAGATGAACGCGAATACGAATCGTGTGTACGATGGAAGCAATTTTATTTTGCATGCGAATAGGACCCAATCATTCCGCAATCCGGCTAATTCAAGAAAATAATTGCGAGAAACGTCGGCAATTCCTCAACTCCGTGACAAAGTTTTGAATGTGAACGGCGCAGACTCGCGGTTTTCCCCGTTATTCGCTTCACCTTACTAGTTGACGCACAGCTTGGCTATAAATAACCATCTGTTTACTCGTTGCTGTCTCGCAAACACTTTTTTAACGCATCATACTCCCCGCGAATATATAAACGTACAGACCGAACAATGTATGAGATATCACAACGATATGATAGCAAGATTGAAAAAGCGGGAAATCCTGTTCCAGTTCATTCGAGCATTAACGCTCATTAGAAATTATTATTTCCATATGATTACTTCAAAATTAATAGGAATCCATTACACTTTTGTGCGTTACAATATATACGCACAGTTGATTACGGTTCAATTTGATTAATATATATATATATATATATATAATTTTATTATCAGAAAATCCCACGTTATTATCCAAGACACGTGTTATCCTAAGGCAATACGTACTCGGCCGTAAAATTACATGACACGCGGCTATAAACAAAATAAGATTAACTTCTTATCTTCGGCTATAAAACGATCGTAACTTGGAGCAACTAATGGAAACCTACTTTAAGTAATCTTAGTTGTATTAACACAGGAAATCGTATGCTTGAGCGATTTACGTGCGTTTGTTTATTCGAAAGTTACTTTGTTATCGGCGCTCATATCATTCTAATATTTATCATCTAAAATATCTTACAATTCTGAATTTACTTGCCGTTACATGACGCAATAAATTTTACACCGCTAGCAACAATTTGATACGAAGCTTTACTATAATCCTTAATAATACCATAAATTTAAAAACATAAAAAATGTTTTTGTGTTTCTCTTAATGTCTTAGATATAAGCAAATTTGCCTATTAAGAAAATTATCTTATAAAGCGTAAACAAGTATTCATTCTATATCGATAATAATTTTAATAATTGAAATATAAAGGTAGCAAAATAAAGAAATGAATGTTGTGAATCAAAGAATCTCATTATTTGGACTATCTCATTAATCACAACAAGCAAGGCGACAGTATAAGTCGCGATGACGAGGAATGAATGTCTACCTTCCCTCCCCTAATGTTTATTATTTAACGCTAACGTGTTAATCCGTTTGAATTATTCGCAACGAACAATAGCTGTCTTTCACAAAGATTGATCACGATTGAGAAGTAACAGTTTTAATTTGACGTTTGAATGTTTGACCCTGTGTATGGACGTTGGTACAATAAATAATTACGGACAATTTGCGGGCTCCGCGTTTCCAGACAAGACTGCAGGCACGAATTTTGTCGATTAATCGTCTGGCACGAATCGTTAAACTGCTGAGATTCGATCAACGAGATCAAATCGACGACCGATCCAATTAAACGTTTTCTCCTATTGCGCTCGAACTCTCGCCGTGGATCGATCCGGCTGACGCGGCGGGATCGATAGTTAAAACGTTATTAAACAGCCCCGCAATAGTTTATTAAACATCAATATAACGTGAAGAGAAGCAGGTGTGCGAAAGCTTTCGAATCTTTTAATGCCAGAAGCGTCGCGTACACCTATGTAAATTTTCCGTTTACAAATCTACTGTGTAATGCGACGCCTCTACACACACACACACACACACACACACACACACACACACACACACACACACACACACACACACACACACACACACACACACACACACACTCCTCAAATTTTTTCGATTTTTTTCTTTATCTCCCCCGAATAAAACATTTATTTACTCGTTACTGTTTTTTTTTACTCATTAGAGTAAATTTAGAATCAAATTAAAATAAATTTAATTTATTATTGCTATCTATCTTATTATTATTGATTCAATGGTAGCCTGCGTATAATTTGGCACTTGAAGAAAAATTTTATTCTTAATGCAAAATATCTATCTGTTTCGATCTGTTGTATTTTATATTAATTATTTTTGACTAGATGGAATTATAGTTATTATATTAATTGTAATTATATTATTAAGATTAGGCTTAATTTATCGCAAAAATTTATTCGACCAACGCAAAGATTTTGAAATTCCAATTTCATCTTTAGTTGTTGTATGTGTATTTTCATTAAAAAGTAAAAAGAATAAATAAAGGTTTTTAAAGGAAAACAGACATTCATTCCAAACGCTAAATATCTCCTTTCTAATCCCCTCAAATCAAATAATCAACAACGTTCATTGAACTCCAATTGACTGATTAAGCTGTTGTATATCGTGCCACACGTGTAGTCGCAATCTAGATTCCATAAATGACGCGGAAAAATGCGGAATAGAATACGTTCGTTCTAACGTGTATCATTAAAATTGTGAGTACTAAACAATTATTAACTGACCACAATTATTAGTCTACGAATAGTAAGTTGTATAATATTGATTATTTATTTCAAATGAATATTTGATCAAATTCCGCTGTAAACTAATACATGAATACTAAATACATGAATAAATGTACGAATAAATGTATGTTGCAATATTTAATATGACGTAATCTAATATACGACATTTGGAGGGTTATGCAAGGGAAAATAGAAGAATTAAAATTCACTCGAGTTCCAAAAACAAAGCGACACAGCTGTCGTTGAACCTCGCAATTGTTCCTAAGAAACAAATGCTGCATTAGTCAGATGTTCTTATCTGGGAATAATAATGTTTCTGCTTCATTCGACACTTTCTTCCCGCGCTCCAGTTTAAACCGTGGTGCAACGCGACGTGATGCACCGGGGAGATTCGCGCGAATCGGTCGCGGCTCGAATCGATGGTCAGAAGCTAGACCGATAATTAATTGGCCGCTCTTAAATTTGGAATACTCGGAAAAGTGTTTGCACGGATCGACGATTTATGAGCGCAAGGTAGCCCCTCATGATAATGAGGGGATAATAGACGTGCCGGGCACAGTTCTTAAAAGGCGCTCGCGCTCGCGCGCAATTAGTGAACGTGTGTGCGTATAGAGCGTCTCATAAATCTTAATAAAAGCCGCGGGTAACGATTACTCACTCACTCACTCACTCACGGCTTGCCGCAAGAAGATAATGATTCACCGCGAGTGGCCGCCTGGCAGACGACGAGGAGGGGGGGGGGGAGTTGGGAGAGAGGGGGCGATGGTCAGAAGCTAGACCGATAATTAATTGGCCGCTCTTAAATTTGGAATACTCGGAAAAGTGTTTGCACGGATCGACGATTTATGAGCGCAAGGTAGCCCCTCATGATAATGAGGGGGATAATAGACGTGCCGGGCACAGTTTTCTTAAAAGGCGCTCGCGCTCGCGCGCAATTAGTGAACGTGTGTGCGTATAGAGCGTCTCATAAATCTTAATAAAAGCCGCGGGTAACGATTACTCACTCACTCACTCACTCACGGCTTGCCGCAAGAAGATAATGATTCACCGCGAGTGGCCGCCAATATGCGCGGATAATTCCTCCGTTAGGTTGCTCGCCACGTTAATAGCGATTTCCATTTTCTCGACGCGACGCGTCGCCGGGACAATCGTGCCCATGAGGAAACATTATCACATCTGATTTCCTTCGTGCGGTGATAATCGCGTTCTCGGTAACGCAGTTGCGGATGCTGCGCTTTACAGCGGCAAATTCCACGTATCGTGAATTTCGGGGCGGTTCATTCCATCGCGTATTGTACTTGACTTAAAGGAGCAAGGTTCGCGTAATCGTGGCCTTTGTATGTCTTATTGAGACATTTAGACCGGAAGCAAATAACACATTTTGCTACTTGTGGCGATTATACTGTGAACGTATACTTTAGATAACGTATCAATTATCTTGCTCCATAAATGTAATGAGATACTAAATTTTACTGTAACACTCGGTACACGAGAAAAATAATCATGGTATCGGCGATTAACCGAAGAAAGATCGCAGAGTCATGAATAATATTTTGTATATTACGTTCTATGATGTTCTTTCGTTAAATATAATTAAAAATAATTTTATTTTAAGAGAGAGCTAATATTATTGTGTTATTTTAAGTATTTACTGAATAATTATAATTTACACAAAGCGGTTCATAATACCTTTTGCACGCCAAATGTAGCCTCATATAACAACGTACTCATCAACAAAATCAATCGATCAAAACACGCACGCAGATCGTAACCTTTTGGCATCGATTTCATTGGCAGGTTATTCGGCACATATATCGAAAAGTGTCGAAATGTGTAGTGTGTGTGTGTGTGTGTGTGTGTGTGTGTGTGTGTGTGTGTGTGTGTGTGTGTGTGTGTGTGTGTGTAATAAGAGAAATCACCTTCAATGATAGTTAGTTTTCAATGCTGAATCTCTCAATTTAGAAAATCAGCAATATTCAAATCAACAGATTATTACGTATAACATTTATGTATCTGTCTATTTAATATTATTTATAATAACATTATTTAGTGTTATTGGCGAGTATTTTTCATCACGTTCCACAATCTACGAGCTCGCAATTAATAATTGTATTAAAGTTAATAAATAAATAAATAAATAAATAAATAAATAAATATACGTATATTTATTTATTTAAAAATTTATAATAAATATACTTTTTTTAATATTGACGTCTCGATATTTCGTATATTAACGCCTGACAAATTGAGTAGTCAATTAGAATTTGAAATACACTTACCAATTTATTTGAAGTGTACAAAACGTGCGATTATTGTCCCATTTTCAGAAAGTCTGTACTTCTCAGAGCTCTCGCGGAAATGCGTATTCCTCGTCACTATACAATCACTCTTCTCACACATAAACGATGTAACAACGTAACAACACGTCACTGACGCACTGAATAATTACAAATTCATCTATTGCACGAATCTTTCTTTCTTCCATGTCATACTTCCATGTTAATGTTATTACGACTATCGTTATTTCACTTAATGTTACAAAAATGTTGCAACCAAGAATCTGAGAATTAATATCTATTGTATTTTAAATTTCATTATTAAATAATTGCAGCTAATAGTTTAAAAATTCCTTGTAAAAATATATAAGATAAAACTCTTATCATTTATATTAATTTATATAAGTAATACATAGATATATGTATATCAGTTAATAGTTCATGTTTGAATGTCTGATTATTTTATGTTGGAATTCTATTTTGTGTTTTTTGTTATTTAAAATCAGTAAAATAATCAAAGTAAAGCGATTATTGGTAAATGTATGTTGTAATACAAGCGAAATGTTATTTAGGAATTAAACGTGCGCCGAGAATTGCTTAAATCACTAAAGCCATCTGCTTCAAACTGGCCTACAATCACACTACGTGTATGTAATTTGATGTAAAAAGTCATCATAATTTACTTTCGACTGTGGTAAAACTTTGTTGAAATTTCTCACACGTTTTTAAATAATATCCAATTGCGTATATACCGTTTCTTCTCATTTCCTGGATAAAACTATCACAAAGTTGCTAACGCACTGACACTTATATTATCATCATGTGTTTTCCTTAACTGACTGAATAAGAAAACAAGTTGTTAATTTATGCACATCACCGCTTTGATTAACAATTCGATGAACCGTCTCGATGCATCAAAGACGCACGTTTGACGTTCCAATCGCAACACCAAAAACTCACGTGCAGAGAGGAATGTTTTTATCAACAAAAGCACCGTTCCTCTTCCTCTCTCTCTCTCTCTCTCTCTCTCTCTCTCTCTCTCTCTCTCTCTCTCTCTCTCTCTCTCTCTCTCTCTCTCTCTCTCTCTCTCTCTCTCTCTCTCTCTCTCTCTCTCTCTCTCTCTCTCTCTCTCTCTCTCTCTCTCTCTCTCCTTTTTTCGTCGCGATGCGGTATTCGCGATGTCGAATAAAGCCCGGTTTACACCGCTGTTCTGATAGAATTATCGATACACCCGAAAAATGAATGTGCCTTAACAAAGAATCTTTTTGTTTAAATTATCAATTAAATAAGCTAACGCTCTGGAATACTCATCAGGAAAAATATCGTGATCGTAAAGGAATTGTAATGCAATGTCTACCATCCTTTTTATCGCAATGTTTTGAAACTCGAATTTCAAACCAGCGATAATATTTGATTCAGATCGATCGAAGAGGAATGACTAATGAAATTCACGTTCCGTCTTTCACCATGGATTTTTCACCGTGAAGATATTCTCTGCAATTCTAACGAGACCAAAGAGATCATCGCAATTTTTTTATTTCGTGACGTATAAGAGTATTTCGAATCGCAAAAAGTGTTTTGATCTCTCTTAAAATATAATGCGATTATCTAAATTTTATTTCTGAAACTTCAAATTGATAATTAACGTAAAAATCGATTTATCAATTTTGACCGTTCAGCATTTGTTATTTATTTCACAAACATCAAGATGTATTGAATGTCAGACAGTAGATACGACCCACATAAGCAAGATTACGTAGTTAACTTGGAAAATAAAACAACTCATCATGCATTCGTGTATATTTTAAACAAACTTATTATTATTTCAGTAACACTGAGATGTGTCGCTTTGCAATCTTGAATAAATAAAATCACAAAAATCTCCAGTTACTCAATAATATAATAAAAGCGACGCGCATTAGCCGCATCATATGTTACTTGTAATCGATTGCTTTTTATTTGATTATTTAGAGTATTAGATACGTCACACTATTATACGTCTTTATAGGCATGAGCGAAGCGATGCATTAATTGAGTAGTCATGTTAAGCTGAATAATCTGAAAAGTTGCTCTACTAAAAGTCGCTTCATTAAAAATCCAAATCGCGTACTTTCTCGGATAGCCACTTCATTTATATATACTAACTTGAGTTTTCCAGACGAGTATTCCACATATTCATTTGCACATATATTTTTAATTAAATCAGACGGTAACGCGACCGAGGCAGCGGCATTTACAGGCAAGGAAATGTTCCAATTGAAATGGGCATTACGTACGCGCGTGTAATACCAAGATCGCGTATGATATCGAGATACGATTCTTACAGAGTAACTTATAATTGCTGAACGACAGGTAGATAAAGTCCCTGTGTACAGTCCCTTGCAGCAATTACGGCAATTAACAAGTAGTTACGTACGTCGACCTCGTAGTAGTTACGGACCGCGCGGGACAGACAAATTCTAATTCTCGCGCGACTTCTTTTCGAGATATACATATGTACATGTGCACGTTAACAAAACATGAGTACACGAATACATGCTGCTAGCAAGCTTGAAAAATTCAAGATTCGTCGCCACTGCTTATTTTCGTGTATAGCATTAAAATGTTTAAAACTAGTACAAGACATTGTAACTTTTAGCAGCCTGAAAAAATATGAGAAGAGATACTTAAGACAAAAGATATATTTGTCATTCTAATTCGAAGATTAAACAAATTTTATTTGTAAGCTTGATTATTACGCATATGTGACTATCGCAAACACATATTTAACGTTTTTTTTTTTTTTTTTTTCTTTCTTTCAAATATTATATAAAGATTGTACATATTTTCTGCGTTTGCAGATTTTTATCTTTTATAAAAGTAAAAAAATTGTAGTTGAGATCAGTATACATTATGCAAATGAAACGATTTCATGCTTTATAATTATACGCTATTATATAATATTTTTCTCTGAATTATTGTGAATAAAGAAATAAAATAATAATAATAATAATAATAATAATAATAATAATAATCAATCTTTATTATCTGATGCTTGACCGATTTGTTTACAACTCGAGTCTGTATTGCCTGACGAGCAAAATATCCTTTTTAATTCTAGAAAATGCTTCTCACGTTTGACTGGCGATGGCTAGGTTTGCGTGACGAAAATTTCCTTCAAACTCATTGAGCGCTCATGACTTGAAGGTTGAAGTCGTTCGAAGCGTGCCGATACGTACGCCTATATTATCAAGTTGACAACGTATGAAACACGTTGTTTACATCTCCGTGTCTAATGTGAGAGATATCTGTGATATTAATAGATCGTCGTATTAGAGAGGCGTCCGTCGCGCTCGCGCTCCCATTTATTGAGGTCGCAACATCGGTAGAAATTATGCGACATGCACTCATTAAACTAGCGCGCGACGCGAGAGAAACATTTAACATGCGCTGATTGCGTACGTCCTAATTGTTTATAACTATGTCGTTTATATAATATATACATCTGCATGATTCTTGTCTGTTATTAAGATCCGACATTACTCCTCATAAATATTGGTTTCTGGTATCAACTAAAATATTATATACTTCAGACGTTTCGAGAAAGTTTTCACGAAGATAGAAAATATCGAGTAAATTTTATTCGACTAACCGATGAAAATTAAATCATCTCTGTTGTTTTTTTAAATGTATCATGTCGTAAATCATTCGGATGCCATAGCACTTAGTTCGCTTTAATCCGCGTCAATTTTTAAGTAAAGATGTGACGTGACTCTGTCGATTCGTCGCACAGTAACGAATCGAATTTATGTAGATTTACATTAATGAATAATGCTTCTTTTTAAAACGCTATCTGGATAAAGCGGAAGTCATGGAATGATAGTTTGACTTGTTAAGATCCTCGTGAGGATTATAATTAGAAATAACGTAAGATGATCTGTCGATTTATTACTGAAGCAAAATGAACGATACAATATGAAACGGTCTAATAAAATTAATGACCGACATCCCGAGGCCGTTAAAATAATCAGTCATTAAATGGAGCGCAACTTTTCAAACGATCATTTCAATTTCTACGATTTGCGCATTGCGCTCTGTTTAGTGCGACAATAATCAATCTTCTTTTTGCAATAATAATTATTATTTTTCACTTCAAACATAAATGTAATATATTATTTATTTTTTTATTAATAATTTTTCATTATAATGCGAGTATTATTTTTACATATTTTATTCTTCGTAATATTTCACAATTTATTTATGTCATATACCATGCGTCTAGAAATAACAGAATTAACGTATATAATATTCGGTACGTTAAAATAATTTTGTAATAAATTAATCGATATTAACCTTGTAATAAAATCGGGGGAAAAAATGAATTCAAGCATGAAATTTTCTCGATTTTTCGCAACCGGTCTAATAGACCGTGTATGAGTCGCTTGTAAATTAAAAAAGTAAGCTCTAATTTGCGGCTATCGATGATTAAAATACTCGCATTTGTCGCGGCAGTTGTAGCTGCCGGTTTCTACAACGTTCTCATTTAAGTTCCGGCCGTTTGTTTGATCGCAGACGGAAAACGGTCGATCGACGATACCGATGAGGCGCAGAATTCGCTGTAAAGCGGACTTTAACCTCCTCCCACGAATCGCCATGGTCCGCTGCCTTCATCGGTCTCACTCGCTCACGTTTTCTGCGTTCGCCGAGTGTGACAGTGCCGTATGAATGCCCTACCTTCCCTCCTCGCACCTCGCGCCTGCGACTTCTTACTGTTAGCGTTGCGGTGACAGACTCGCGCGGATGACGCCTCCACTCCGCGTTTCCATTCTCGAATCTCACGATTCTTCAAACTTCATACTCGAAGAGCGCACCTGTCGTAATTAGTACGATCTACTCGATCGAGCGCGACACGAGCCTTAAATGAAAACTAACACGATGACGTGATCAAGTGCTCCTATAAGTGATCTTTGATAAAAATTACATTATCGACTTAATAATGCTCTACAATTAAGCATCAAAATGCATCGGGTTTCCTCAATCATTTTTATACTAAAAATTTGATCGGATACAGATCTGAAAATAATGTTAGTGGACTATCAAAATAATTATGTAGAACGTTTAAATTGATTGCCGGAATATAAAAAAAATTTTGCAATATTATCATCGTGCTTGAGCATTCTGCATAATAATTTCGATTTTAATCCAACAAAATTATTTTCAGATCTGTAGCTGGACAAATTTTTAGATATTTCAACAAAATCGTTTCTTTCTTTCTTGTGTAGATTTATCCTTTGTAGACTTATGGCGAACGTCGATCAAACGAT